TCTATGTTCATCAGGGATATTGGCCTGTAGTTTTCTTTCTTCGTAGTGTCTTTTTCTGGTTTTGGAATTAGAATTATGCTTGCCTCATAGAACGTGTTTGGAAGTCTTCCTTCTTCTTGAATTTTTTGAAATAGTTTGAGGAGAATGGGTGTTAGTTCTTTTTTTGAATGTTCGGTAAAACTCGCTGGGGGTATATCTTCATTTTGATCGGGCTGCTACTGTGAGGGATGGTGCTGGGCTCCTGGCTGTCCATGGCTTCTGTGACCGGCACTTTGAGAGCTCCACTACTGTGCACAGGTCTGTGTTGACACAGAGTGTCCACTGGTTCGATGGTGCCAGGTGTGCTGGTGGGCTCAGGTTTCTGGGCCCTAGCAGCTCCCACTGCCTCCTCCCAGGGAAGACCTGGGATCTTCCAAAATGGTGGGACCTCCTGGTGGCGCTGGGAGAAGCGCCCTGAAGTACGGCTTACCGAGGTAGCGGCTGCTCCTGTCCACAGCACAGGAACTTTCTGCTCCGCGTCTCTAAACTGCTCAAGTTTGGTTGTCCACCTTCATGTCCACTCACACTGTCTCACACACTCGCTCACTCTCTCACACACTCACCCTCCCTCCAGTCCTGCCTGCCGCCATCTTCTGTAAGTTCTCTGGTTTCAGATATGCCACATTTTTGTAGCATCTTCTGTCTTTTATGGGTTTTTATCAGGGTGACTCCTATGCATTCTTTCTGTTTGTACCTTTACTCTTCTTACTTATCCTCATTAAATTAGTTATCTTCTCTAATAGAATTTGGGCTAAAAAAATTCACTATAGACAAGTAAAATTAAACTCCTAATAACAGTTCCCCCACGGTCACTGAGGGACAAGATCACTGATGTTAATTTATTTATTTCTCAGTTTTCACAAACCTCTTCTCCCTTCTTGTCCTCTCTCCTTATACTAAGTTGGGGAACCTCCTACCCCAGTGTGCTCCCTCCTCATAATTTAGAATTTAAAATTGTACCATAGAGCCCAGCCTGTGTGGCTCAATGGTTTAGCATTGACCCATACACCAAGAGGACACTGGTTCGATTGCTGGTCAGGGCACATGCCCAGGTTGTGGGCCCGATCCTCAGTAGGGCGCCTATAGGAGGGGGGCATATAGGAGGCGGCCAATCAATGTTCTCTCTCATCCATGTTTCTATTTCACTCTCCCTTTCCCTTCCTCTCTCTCTAAAATCAATAAAGAAAAAAAATTTAATTAAAATGAAAGTATACCATAGAAAGAAAAGATATGACAATCTTTATCTTTAAAATGTTAATTTTGTGGTATAGAGTTTTAGTGTATTTGTTTGAGAGAATTTTGTTCTGTTTTGTTTTTCATTTGAATAGGGTCTTACTTGTGGTTTGATTTGAGCTTCTGGATCCAAAAACATTATATGATCTGAGCCAAACATGACTGTGTTCTATCATACCTGGCCCATTTGCCACTTGGGTTTATGCAAGGGTTGTGATTTAGAAGGAGATACTGATATCATTTTTAAAATAAGTAACAAAATAATTTTTTATTTAACTAATTTTGACATGAAGATCTCTTAGTATTGTTTTAATGAAAATCTCAGTTAATCTTTCTCCCCTTTTATCTTTTTCAGTCCCTTACCTTAGTTTTTAAATCAAATTGGACTTGTTAAAAACTCATCATTGTTCATGTTTTGTGTATAATAATTAGTTCTCTCTATTTCATCTATCCCAGCTTCTTAACTTCGTACCATGAAATAGTTACAACAGGACTATTCCTCATATTTTATCTTTAAAAGTGATTTGTTTCTTCATGCTTTTGTTGTCATTGTTTCATATGATTAGCAGGATTTACATTATTGCTTATAATTGTGTAGAGATTTGTGTTGTATCATTTACAATTCCTATCAGAAGCTGAAAGAACTAGCAGAAAATTGTTAGCAATGGTTAAAAAACACTTTGATTATTCACAAATTTTTATTGTATTTATTTATTTTTTCAATTTTTATTAATTTATTTTTGCTACAGATGTTTCTTCTTTTTCCTCCGTTGATACCCTCCTCCCTATCCTGCCCCCCTACAATCATTGTTGTCTATGTCTATTGGTTGGGCATACATGAATGTTAAGTTCTTTGGTTTATCTCATCCCTCTTCCCAGCCCTGCTCCTCTGAGGTTTGTCTGTCTGAACCATACTCCTTTCTATGTCTCTGGGTATATTTTGTTCATCAGTTTATTTTGTTCATTATATTCTACAATAAGTGAGATCATGTGGTATTCGTCTTTCTCTGATTGGCTTATTTTGCTTAGCATAATGCTCTCCAGGTCCCTCCATGTCATCTCAAAGGATAAGAGAACTCTCTTTCTTACAGCTGCATAGTGTCCCATTTTGTAGATGTAGCACAGCTTTTTTATACACTCCTCTACTGATGGACACTTGTGTTGTTTCCAGATCTTAGCTATTGTAAATAGTGCTGCTATGAACATAGAGGTACATGTATTCTTTCTGGTTGGTGTTTCAGGCTTCTTAGGGTATATTACTAGAAGTGGGATCACTGGGTCAAATGGAAGTTCAATTTTTAACTTTTTGGGGTAACACCGTAGTGTTTTCCATAGTGGCTGCACCACTCTGCATTCCCACCAGCAGTGTACTAGAGTCCCCTTTTCTCCACACCCTCGCCAACACTTGTTGTTTGATGATTTGTTGATGGCGGCCATTCTGACAGGTGTGAAGTGATACCTCATAGTCATTTTAATTTGCATCTCTCTGATGATTAGTGATGTTGAGCATTTCTTCATATGTCTCTAGGCCATTTGTATGCCCTTTTTGGAGAGGTGTCTATTTAGGTCCTCTGTCCATTTTTTAATTGAGTTCTTTGTTTTCCTTTTGTTGAGTTGTATGAGCACTGTATATATTTCGGAAATTAACCGCTTATCTGATGTGTCATTGGCAATTATGCTCTCCCATATAGTGGATTCTCTTTCTATTTTAATGCTTATTTCTTTTGCTGTGCAGAAGCTTTTCAGTTTGATGTAGTCCCATGTATTAATTTTTTCTTTGTTTCTCTTGCCTTAGGTGTTGTATCATTGAAAATTCTGCTGCGCATTATGTCTGAAATTTTGTTGCCTACATTTTCTTCTAGGATTTTTATGGATTCACAAGTCACATTTACGTCTTCTATTTTTAGTTAATTCTTGTATATGGTGTAAGTTGGTGATCTAGTTTCATTTTTTTTTTTTTGCATGTAACTGTCTAATTTTTTCAACACCATTTATTAAAGAGGCTGTCTTTACTCCATTGTATGCTCTTGCCACCTTTGTCAAAGATTAGTTGAGCGTAATGTCTTGGGTCAATTTCTGGGTTCTCAGTTCTGTTCCATTGATCTATATGCCTGTTCTTGTGCTACTGCCAGGCTGTTTTGATTACAGTGGCTTTGTAATATAACCTGATATCTGGTATTGTGATTCTCTCCTACTTTTTTCTTCTTTTTCAAGATTGCTGTGGTTATTCAGGGTCTTTTTTGGTTTCATATGAACTTTTAAAGTATTTGTTCGAGTTCTGTGAAATATGTCGTTTGTATTTTGATGGGGATTGCATTGAATCTATAGATTGCTATGGGTAGTGTGGACATTTTAATTATGTTAATTCTTCCAATCCATGAACAAGGTATGTGCTTCCACTTTTTTATATCTTCCTCTATTTCCGTTTTCAATGTCCTGTGGTTTTCTGCAAATAGGTCCTTTACTCCTTTGGTTAAGTTTATTCCTAGGTATCTTAATTTTTTTTTTGCTGCAACGGTAAATGGCGTTGTTTTTTCAGTTTCTTTTTCTGTGAGTTTATTATTGGTGTATAAGAATGCCATCAATTTCTTGATGTTAATTTTGTATCCTGCTACTTTGCCAAATTCGTTTATTAAATCTAGTAGATTTTTGATGGGGGCTTTAGGGTTTCCTATGTACAATATTATGTCATCTGCGAATAATGACAATTCCACGTCCTCCTTTCAAATTTGGATCCCTTTTATTTTTTCTTCATGTCTAATTGCTATGGCTAAGACTTCCAGTACTATGTTAAATAAGAGTGGTGAAAGTGGGCATCCCTGTCTTGATCCTGTTCTTAAGGGAAATGTTTTGAGTTTTTGCCCATTGAGTATGATGTTGGCTGTAGGTTTTTCATATATGGCCTTTATTATGTCAAGATATGATCCCTCTATTCCCACATTGCTGAACGTTTTTATGAGAAATGGGTGCTGGATTTTGTCGAATGCTTTTTCAGCGTCTATTGATATGATCAAATGGTTTTTATCTTATATTTTGTTTATGTGGTGTATCACATTTATCATTTATTGATTTGTGAATATTTTACCTGACTTGCATCCCTGGTATGAATCTCACTTGGTCGTGGTGAATAATTTTTTAACTGTATTTCTGGATTTGATTTGCTAATATTTTGTTAAGGATTTTGGCATCTATGTTCTTCAGGGATATCGGCCTGTAGTTTTTTTTTTTCTTTGCTGATATTCATAACATTTTAAATTACTATTGGTATTTTATTATATATTCTTACTGATTTTCTATGTATAGGTTTGTATATACTTATTTTTAGATTATGCTTGTTATTATATTCTGAACATTTCCTAATATTATGAAATATTTTTCAAGGACATAATTTTAAAGCTACATAATGAACCATGTGGATATATTACATTTATTTAATCATTCTCTTAATGTCAAACATTTAAGTTATTTATGTTTTTCTGTTATTACAACTAATTGATAAATCTCTGTAACTTTGTGGACTTCCTTAACTTTTCTGTAGTATAAATTCCTAGAAAGAGAACTACTTGGTCAGAGGTTTAGAATATTTTAAAGTTACTACTACAGGTTTCTGAAATGCCCTCTAGAATGGTTGTAGCAATTTATATCCAATGTTCTTTGCTATAATAAAATGTAAGATTTTTTTCTGCCAAAGTTCCTGGTGTTTGTTTCCTTAATGATTTTCTTCACAGAATAAGCAAGTGAAAATAACTTTTGGGTTCTCTTGCAAGAATAATAACCAGTTTGGAATAATGATGTATCACAACAACCGACTTATAAAGTCCTTTGAGAAGGTGGGATGCCAGGTAAAGGTGAGTGATTAATGATTCTTTGTCATAGAAGACTGAAAAGAGTAGGAAGAGGATATAAAAAGAGGGGATTAAGTCATTAATGGCTTGTACTAGGAATTCTATGAAAAACTCTATTTCTCATTCTTCATAGATGTTAATCAACACAGAAACTTCACTGAATACATTTTTTAGGTTGCTGTTAATAAAAGGTAGAATTAGATCAGCAACTCTGCCATTTGTATTAATCTATTAGTGTTGAAAGCTTTTTATATATTCTTGGGGAGACAGTAAGACATAGTGGAAGATGCATAAAATTTAGTGATTGATGGCTAGGATTTGAGTCCTGGCTTTTCTACTTACAAGCTGTGCAACCTAGTCACTTAATTTATCTGAGGCTCAATTTCTTCCCTATAGAATGGAACTACTAACCTCTGCCTACCTAACCTCTTACAAGATTGAAATTTTTAAATGGGATACATTATGTGAAAATACTTTATAAACCGAACTATACAAATATTACCATTATCTTTAATGTTTTAATGACAAATTAAAGAGAAATATTCACAAGTATTCCATTCATTCCTGTTTTGCAGATAAGATTGCTAAAGCACAAAGAATGATAAACTGTTTTATATCACACAGTAGAGCAAACTTATATTACACCCAGAATAGCTAGTTTTCAGCCTATGTTGATTTTCCTTGTTACACCATCTTTATACAGTTCATGTTTGTGTGCTAGTCTAACTACAACTTGATTCAATTTCTTCCATTAAATGATAAAAAAAAATTTCAATCCAAATATATCTTGTATCAACTTGTAATTAGTAACTACTGCAAGTCTGACTCACTTTAGTAGTTGATTAGTGGCCTAATTGTTTATTTTAAAAGAGTGTGATGATTACATAGCATCCTTAAATTTTTTTCCAATGAAGTTTGGTTTTAGTTCCCTAGAACAGTAGTATATAACTTTGATTTTTTTTAGCTGTGAAATCTTATGGCAATTTCAGAATATAAAACAGTTGAAAATGGAGGTAGTGTGGGAGAAGTAGAGATGGCTATTAATCCTTAGAAAATCCTAGAAGATCTATGGTTCATAGTTTGAAAATCTTTTCCTAAAACTTGACAGAGGTTCCAGTTCAATGTAATATTTGCAGTCTATTGAAATATATTCTGAGTGTTTCTCTAGATCTTGCTGGCTTTCCTTGCCCATAAACATTATGTAACCTTCCTATTATTGTTTGGAATCCAAAGGAAATGCCTCCAGGCAGTTAACAGTAATGTGAGTGTTGAAATTCATTTTTCTTTTCCTAAGCCAACTCATGGAGAAGGTGTGGGAGTAATTGGAGTCATTGAGTGCAATTTCCTAAAACCTGCCTACAACAAACAAGACTTTGAGTACACCAAGGAGTACCGGTGAGTCACTCCCAATCTGAAGTGTTTCTGATAGTTTCTTCAGATATGATTCTGTTCTATGAAACCTCTAAAAGTATCTCTAAAAACCAGGCAGATAAATTAACTGAGAATTCCTTCAAATCTATTTTTCAAGATAAGAAATAAAATTATTTGATTTTTATTTGTTTTTTTAAATTGATTTTAGAGAGAGGAAGGGAGAGGGAAAGAGAGAGCAACATCGATTCATTGCCTCCCATATGACCAGGGACCAAACCCGCAACCTGGGTATGTGCCCTGACAGGGAATCAAACCAGTGATCTTTTGGTGCACAGGACAACACTCAACCAACAGAGCGACACCAGGCAGGACAAAATGATTTTACTTTTAAATAAAAGCTGACTGATACATGGTTTATGGAGCTCAGTTGAGATAAACCTTACCTTTAAAAACTATGTAAAGAGCATAGGAGTCATATACTAAACTACTTCTGGTGAAACAAAGAGCCTTGGAACGATCTTTTTATTAATACATCATCTGCATGTTGTATTACATGTTCACCACCCAAAGTCAATTCTCCATCCATCACCATTTATCCATCCTATACCCCCTCCTAACCTCCCCTCATCCTCCCTTTCCCTCTGGTAATCACCATGCTATTGTTTGTCTGTGAGGTTGTTTTTCTTTTCTTAATCCCAGCCCCACAACCCCCTTCTCCTCTGACAGCTGTCAGTCTATTTTTTGTATCTGAGTCTGTTTCTATTTTGTTATTTTATTTTGTTCATTAGATTTTAATGAAAATAGATGAGTGGATCTGAAGTTATTGAATATGTTTTGGGGGAAAGCACCAGTTTGAAGTTTGTTCCAAATCATTTCTTTTTTTTTTTAATTTATTTTTTTTTCCACATCTTTATTGTTGGATGTAAAATGTATTACAGATGTTCCACATTTTTCCCCCATTGACCCCCTTCTCCCCCCTCCCGCCCCCCTCCCACCTTTTCCCAAACTATTGTCTGTGTCCATTGGTTATGCATATAAGTTCTTTGGTTTATTTCTTCCCACCCCCCCAACCCCTTTCCCTTTGAGGTTTGTCAGTCTAGCAATGAATTTGTGCTTCTTAATTCCTTCACCTTTTTCATCCATTACCCAACCCCCTTCCCAACTGGCAACCAACAAAATGTTCTCTGTATCTATGAGAATGTTCCTGTTCTTCCTGTTCATTTTGTTTGTAGATTCCATTGTTGATAGATATGTATTCATTGCCATTTTGTTTGTTCATACATTTCATCTTTTTCTTTAAAAAGACCCTTCATCATTTCATATAATAACGGTTTGGTAGTGATGAACTCCTTTAACTTTTTCTTGTCTGGGAAAGTTTTTATATGTCCATCGATTCTAAATGACAGCTTTGCAGGATAGAGTAATTTTGGTTGTAGGTTCTTGGTTTTCATCACTCTGAATATTTCTTGCCACTCCCTTCTGGCCTGCAAAGTTTCTTTTGAGAAATCAGCTGACAGCCTAATGGGAACTCCCTTGTAGGTAACTAGCTGCCTTTCTCTTGCTGCTTTTAAGATTCTCTCTTTGTCTTGAACCTTTTGCATTTTGATGATGATGTGTCTTGGTGTGGGCCTCTTGGGGTTCATCTTGTTTGGAACTCTCTGTGCTTCCTGGACTTGTATGTCTGTTTCCTTCACCAAGTTAGGAAAGTTTTCTGCCATTATTGTTTCAAACAGGTTTTCGATTTCTTGTTCTCTCTCTTCTCCTTCCGGCACCCCCAAGATGCGAATGTTGGCATGCTTGAAGTTGTCCCAGAGGCTCCTTACACTCTCCTCATTTTTTTGGATTCTTTTTTCTTTTTGCTGTTCTGATTGGGCGTTTTTTGCTTCCTTATATTCGAAATCGATAGTTTGCTCCTTGGATTTACGTACTCTATTATTGAAGCTATGTAAATTATTCTTTATTTCAGTTAAAGCCTCCTTCGTTTCTAACTGTGCAGCGATCATTTCTGACTGGTCCTTTTTTATGCTCTTGAGGCCCTCACTGAGTTCATTGAGCATCCTTATAAGCAGTATTTTGAACTCAGCATCTGTTAGGTTGCTTATCTCCATTTCGCTTAGTTCTTTTCTTGGGGTTTTGTTCTGTTCTTTCATTTGGGACCTGTTTCTTTGTCTCCTCATTTTGGCTGCCTCCCTGTGTTTGTTTCAGTGTATTACTTAATGAGAGGTATGGGGCTCGCTGAGACCCGATGCTGCTCGTTTGAAAGAATTTAGGAAAAACCTGAAGCAGGATCCAAGACAGGCCAATCCTATGGTTAAGCAAGTGGCAACAGCTTGGGTGGACCTGAAAGTTGGGTGGGGTGGGGCGGGGCCTCAGGGAGTCAGCAGGGCGGGGCTACCAGTGTGAGCCAGGTTGCTGGAGTCCCAGATACAGCGACTGTCTGCTGCCCCAGGGAAGGGCTCACCAAAGGAATAAAGGCCTCTTACTGCACGTTTGTCCCCGAGGAAGCCCCCTCTCCAGCCCTCGCTCCAGTGCCAAACAGCTCAGTTCTTCCCTGTATGTCTCTGGTGCCCCTCGAGCTGCCTCCCCTCCGAGCTTAGAGGGAGAGAGTCCGATAAGTCCGTGCGCGGGCCCTTTAGGGAGCTGCCTGGGGCTCCAGCCAGGTCAGCTTCCCTGAGCCTCAGTTCCTGCTGGTTTTTCCAGCCAGAAGTTATGGGGACTTCTCTTCCTGGCACTGGAAACCTGAGCGGGGCACCTGGTGTGGGACAGGGACCCCTCAGTCCTCAGGAGGGACCTTCCCAGCCGCGGGAGCCTCCTGATTTTTATCCACCACACTTGGGTGTGGGACCAGCCCGTCGCACCGTCGCGCCGTCGGCCTCCGCCCCTCCTACCGGTCTGGATGTAGCTGCTTTTTTTTTTTTTTTAATTCCGTAGTTGTAGGACTTCCATTCAGCTTGATTTCAGGCGGTTTTGGATGATGGTTGTTCTGTAGTTTTGTTGTAACTTGGATGTGGTTGTGGGAGAACGCAATACTGCGTTTCCCTACGCCGCCATCTTGACCGGAAGTCTCCCAAATCATTTCTTGAAGCCAGTGAACTGATTGAGAGAAAACTATTGGAGCAGCAGGAAAGACGTGTGTTTTCATGGAAGCATCTAGATTTAATAACACAAATAAGCAAGAATCAGAAAGAAACTGGGCATTGAGGCCAAACCAACAAGGATACTTCTAGAAGACCAAGAAAGGAGTTGTTAAAGCCAGGATATAATAGTTTTGTTTTTTTTAGCTCTGGCTGGTTAGCTAAGCGGTCAGAGCATCGGTCTGACTCTCAGACTGAAGGGTCTTGGGTTCGATGGTTCGAGTCCCAGTCAAGGGCACGTACCTGGGTTGCAGGCTTGATCACTGGCCCTGGTCTGTCAGGGTTCTGCAGGAGGCAACCAAGAGGCAACCAACTGATGTTTCTCTCTCTTTCTCTCTCCCTCCCTCCCTCTTTTCCACTCTATTTAAAACTCAATGGAAAAATATCTTCTAGTGAGGATTAACAAAAAAAAAATAGTAGTTTGTTTTTAAACTTTGGGGAAGGAATGAATCACTTGTTTCTTTTTTTCATCCAATATTATGGGATATTTCCTGTGCCACGTACTAGGGACATAACAATGAAAGAAGAATCCTTGATGTCTATGAACAACTAGGATGAGGTATATGCAAATAAGTTAAATACTATAATGTAATTGCTTTAATGGTGGATATATGCAAAATGAGAAGAACCTTTAAATGTGCCTAAAGGAGTCAAGGAAGGCTTCACAAAGCAGATTATATTCTAACTAAAACTTGAAGGAAAAATTGGAGTTTGCTAGGTGGACAAATAGGGGAAGGGCATTCTATACAGCGGGAAGTATATGTAAGGACATGAAAGGGCAAGTGGTATTCTGGGAGTATGGAGAAAGAAGATATGAGGACATACTCATTTTCCTTGAAGTTTCAGTAGTCATTTTTATTTTTTTAGTGTTCAGGAAAAGTAATTCACCAAATCTCCTTTTTAGTGTGTATGCTCAAAACTGTAAACAGTTGGACAAAAAATGTTGTACGTTAATTTATCTGGAACTGTAAGGCTTTTAGGATTAGTACTTGACAGAGACAACTTTTTGGATGGCAATCCCAAATTAATTTTAGAGTAATTGGTTCTTGGTCACTAGGGCTATTCAGTGGTTATAGCAACTACTTATCCTCAGTTTTAAGTAAAATGCTCTTTTAAATATGAGTCCTGCCCATCATGGAGATCTTTGACTAGGACTTGACTCTTAAGAGTAAAAGTTTGGAAATGACATCAGTTTGACAGAAGTCTCAGAACCAAGTCATTCTATTTCTCTTGAGTAAAAGGAATAATGACTTTCTGCTGATTAAGAAAATAGTTAAGATTTGTGAAATTCAAGAGTTAGATATAAAAAATTACTTAACATCTTATATTATCTTTGCCAAATGCTCATCTACCTTTTAAATTTTAGAGGTATTAGAGCCTTGGTTTGTGATGTTTAATTTCAATATGAGTTTGAGGTCATTGTGGGGGATCCAGATATATTCCATCACCAGTAGGTTTATTGAGTTAAACATATAGGATTTCTGGCTTAAGTAGCTTAGTAATATGCTACACATTTTATTAAAAAACAGACAACTTGTATATTATCCTGCATACAGAGTATTTTGAGGATAAACTTTACATAACTCTTGCCTCAATTGTGCCATCATTTTCCTTTTTTTACTCAATTTATTTTATATAAAATGAAAAAGTATTCAATTAAAAAATAATAGAATTAGAGAAGGTTGTCTACTATCACAAACTCATCCTAAGAGTATTATAGATATCAAAACTGCAAATGATGAAAGAGATAATAGCCATCATACTGCTGAAATGTCTTCAAATTAATCATCTCTAATATCAGTTTTAATAGTTGTATATATCAGATTTCAGCTGCAACTATCTGGGCTCAAACTTACAACATTTTTAGAGTAAGTTTAGCTTAAAAATTGT